CAGTGTTCAATATCGAATTCCATAAAACAATACGAAATAGGACATAAAACTCGGACCATAAGAAATTCTAGAGATGGGATCAGGTGCTTACGAAGATCATCGGGAAAATCGATCGAGATACCTGTGTATTTGCAGGTAGATTGAATATTCTGTATTCATTCTTTATATAAGATACAAATGCCTATCAAAATATTCAGCGGAATATTGCCATATACATATGTAAAGTTGACGATTATAGTTCATAGTGTATAATTGACCCTCAAATATATAATCTATTTTTAGTATAGATTTATTTTTTCAAATTATTTTTGTCATTAAGATTTATCATTTTTCTTTATTGTTCCAACTATCTGATTGGCTCAAACTGAATCACATGATCAAGTATAAAAGTGTTATAGACTGGATATTTCTATTTTTAAAATTTATAAACCTGCTGTTTCTAAAAAAGAAAACGTTCCTCTGTGAAGCAACAATAGTGCTGACGTCACAATAGTCTTTATAGGCAGGATGTTTCTAAAAACAGATATTGCAGCTGGTTTTCATCACTGGGACGTCATAATGCAATGACATAACAATGCCTTGTATTAGAAGGTACTGAGTATTATGAAGAAGGATTTTAAGACATTTCTTATTAACTTATAAGAAATAAAACAATTGTAGCCTTTTGATTCGGTACAAATATAGACCGTAGATAAACCATATCGACCTCGCACTTCACTCTACTTCTACTAATTAATAGGTACATGTAATGAGCAAGCATTCTATACTACTTTATCTTACTTAGTGTAAAACTTTATAGAGACTAACACACAAAATAATAATTCTGTCATATCGTTGATAAGGCATTACTTTACCTTTTTTTTAATTTTACTATTATGAATGCCATTTAAAAATATATTTTTATTACAAATGTTGATCAAAACTATCTTTTTCCTTGAATTGCAATATTCAATGTCACACATTTTTATCACTTCGTGCTTGGTCGATATGCTTTCTCTAAGGTCTATATATCGAGGGATTGTACCGAATCAAAAGGCTATAATTGTATATTATTCACCAGTTATTATTTTTATTTACTTTAATAATTTTTTTTTGTTTTTAGATTAAGAGGAAATAGCAATTTCGGGTCCTTAATTGTCAGTTTTTTGATCAACGATGTTAAATCAATTTGTGTTATTCTTTCGTGCAAAATTTGTGCTTTCGTTGGTTTCATAGTATAGTAAAAAAAGTTTGCCTGATATAGGAGAAGAGTAAGTGCTCATCAAAATTACAACAATTTATTGAAAGACTAGGTCTTGGAAGACCACAAAATGTTGTCAATGATGAACGCTGATAAAAATTCCATTCAATATTAATTTCAGAGTACTTGTGTAGAACCAGAGGTCTTTTTGACCCCGTTAAATGTTGATGACAAACCATGGAATAAGAAAATTCTTAACGTACTTTTTTAAGTTGTACTTGTTTATATAAAGTCTTTATTCTAACGTGATGATTGGTTGTACAAAGATAGGAAAGTTTCAACTTTTAAAGTCACTTACTTAAGAAAAACAATTTTACATTTTTTAAAAGTAGTTAATATTTTAGTATCGAATAAAGCTACAAGCTTGGTACATGTACACATCTGGCTTGAATGGAATGTTTCAAGTATTAAACATATATATGGAACGCTTTGTATTTAAGATTTTACATAAGTGAAGGAATTATATTACAAGAAGTTAACTAGCCTTGAAAATCTTTTAATCAGATTCTTCACATTAACAGGTCTGTCCTCCTCCATTTCAGTCTTTTCAATGCTGACATTAAAAGAAAGCATTCGATGTGATTAATAAACAAAGTAACAGGCAACAAAAAGTTAGAATATTTATTTATTTTTTTTTTCGCAATGAACTAAATCAAACTAGAGATATTGTGAGCAATGAGCTCATTAAATATCACCCCCGCCTCACATATGAATATACTGGCAGTGTCCATGTTTTGCTGTGGGAATCCCAAAATATTTGTCGGATCAAAAATTAAAATATTTGGAGGTGCACAATGGCAATAGGCTAGTAATAAAAATTCTGTGAAAGTTTTGTCAAATTTCATTTATTGGTATGAGAGGAGTTGCAGATAAGAGATGGGTATCCTATTGCTTAACAGACAGACGGACGGATATACCGATTACTATATACGCAGTAGTGTTAAGGCTTCCCGGAGCTTAAAATGAAAACGTAACACTGCATTGCAAAGATGATTTTGAATTTTATTTTTAATTTTTGTACTCCAGTTCGTCGAATTCATACAGAGAATCCTCTAGGCTATATATAAACATATTTGTTACGATGTCATATGACCTTGTTGATCACTTGACGGTCATTTCTTCTTTTTTCAAATGTTTCACATAGATCGCTTCGGCGCAGGTTATCGACACAATTATTATTAACTTTTTGTCACATAAATAAACTCGATTCATCCTTGTGAAACAAAAATATGCTTGGGAAAAGTTATACTATTTCTTTGGAACAATTTATTACATATTAACTTCAACTTACCGACAAATCTGAGGGTATTTTCCGCTGAATATCGTCATCTGTTTTAAAGCAAAGCCATCATACATTTACCCAAGCAGGATTCAGTTAGAGGGGAAACTCCACTTACATATTTCCACAAAAGATAATAATTAAATAAATCCTCATTAACAACCTGTGACAGGCTCTTTTATACACATATAATGAATTCTGCCTCTGTCCACGGGTATGAAAAATTTAAATATCAAACGTATATCTTCGTACGTAGTTTGAACACGCTGACTCTTAAACAAGAGTAATAAAGCCAAGTTACAGACCCTGAGACGTGCTACTACTCCACACGCTCGCTGCACGAACAGTACACGAACACTACACGGTTTGAACGAAACGCTGCACGGTTTACACGAAACGCTACACGGTTTGCACGAAACGCTACACGGTTTACACGGAACGCTTTGCACGAAAGGCTGCAAGGTTTACTCGAAAGGCTGCACAAAATGCTTTGTAAACGTTTCTCACACGCTTTGTGCATGATTCCCGCACGTTTTGGCCTCGGTTTGGATTTTCTACTCGGAGTATCTTGGGTTATATTACGGTTTTATCATTATTTAAATGGAAATCTTTCACAAAGCCAAAATTAGAAGCTGTCGAAATTAAATATCAGTACACTAGTATTATATAAACCGATAGAAATATTTAGTGCTCTGACAGTTGTAATTAATTAATAAATAATTGTCATTTCGTATTTATTTATTTATTTATTCATTTATTTATCCAACTGTTTAAAAACGAAATGCCGATATTATGAATTTCTGTGTTATAAAATTAAATTTTTATACATTAGTCATTCCAATGTAATATTTTTACGAGTATAATTTAATAAATTAAACACAAATTCGATTTCTTACGGCAGGAATATGAACTTATTGGTTTAATATAATAATATTGATTATATTGTGTTTGATTTCCGTAGACGGATTATTTTTCTTGATTTTGATTTAGTAATAAAATTTGCCAATATACTCTACTAACGATTATTGATACATTTTTAAAGATTTTTTTTATCTGACGTAAGCATCATCTAAAGGAGGGAAAACGGTAAAAGGGGGGTTTAAATGTGATGTCTTAATCTATTTTTTATTCTCTTTCTCTTTTTACAAGAAAGTTATCAAAGAACATCAGTATACCCATCATTATTTAATATCCTTCATTTCAAAACTCGACTTAACGTATGTAAAAATATGTGTAAATTAATTACTAGTCGCTGCATTTGACTATACATTGTACATACAATATAGATCGATCTTTACACCGGCATTCGGGTATATTACAAGAAAACTGAAATATCTTAGATGAAATAAAAAGTACGTGATTTATAAAACAAATAATATACAATTATTCATGTTTTACTCCCAAGCTTTTCTGACATGATATTCATGAAAAGACTACCAAATTAGTTCTGTTTATTTTACTGTTTACGGCTAGAAATTCGGATTTACAAATAAAATATGAAATCTGCTGAATTATAAGTAGTACCCATTAAATATTTAATGAACCATTTATTTTAAAAAATAAATAAAATCCAGTCGTAATTTCCAGGTGTCATTAAGCCGCGAACTCAACATGTACATATAAGAAAGCAGATTTTCAGTTGCCATGCACTCGGAGCCAGTGATTGCTGTTGTGAATGTCCTTGATCACAGCTGAAAGGCAGAAGGAAGATTCCAATACATTTTTAAGGGGTGTATCTTAAGTTTAAGTTACACTTTTAGCACCATGTTAACATATTCTGAAATTTGTTTTCACCTGTAAACCTTTACTGAATGTGATTTGTCTATATTTGTTTTTTCATTGAAATATTACTAATATTTTCCAAGTCTTTTTCATATTCCAGTTACTAGGAGAAAAAAATTCTAAGAACCATCCACATTTCTAAACTTGTAACATGATGTTAAATCTTTTTCAAAGAAAAAAATTGTTTGTATCATCTGTCCTTAATAAGAAAAAAATTACATATCAACATTTCAGAAAGCAAAACACATATGAACAGTTTTTGGAAAAGAATTCGAATTATTTACACAGGTCATAGAAGATTATTTTTCATCGTGACGGTTCTTGGCTGTTTATGTTAAATATGATACTCTGAAAGTATACACGCTTTGTTACAACGCACTTTGAAAAATTACGCACTTTGAAAGATTTTTTCAAAGTGCGTTAAAATTTGGGACCAAGCTAACGCACTTTGAAAAAAAATATTTTTTTTCAAAGTGCGTTAATATCGACCATATTAACGCACTTTGAAAAAATGTAAAGATTGATCAATATTCCTTCAAATAATCGGTATGATAAATAACAGATCCTGGTTTGATAATTTTTTATGATAAAGTCACTGTAGGACCTGAGATATTGACGTTTCAGATATTTAAGGTTTTGATAAAATAAAAGGGAAAATTAAAGGATCTTGAAAAAAAGAGTGACGATTGTTTATGTTCATTAATTCGTTTCTTCTTTTTTTTTATTCAAGTCTTTGATAAGTAGATGTAAAGGTGTACAGGGGGCACTAACAGAGGACAGCTTCAAGCAACGTAGCATTTATCATAATAAAAAGGGGCCAATTTGATTGTTCAAAACTATGAAAATTCTTTCTCTCTCATACGTTTTACTGTACTTAAAAATTTCTAGTTTTAATCTATTTTAATTAACTCATTTATTATTGGAAGTTTTCAAGGTCATACCAGTTAGGTAAATACATAATTATATGAATGCTTTGAGTATAGCATAGACATCGAGACTGGGCGAAGGGCCAGGGGAGGGGATGGGGGCTAAGCCCCCAACTTATTCTGGAAAGATATATACATCGTATAAGCATTGAAAATGCAGCGTACCCTTTTTAGGTTTATTGCTCCCCTCCCCCGTTTGTTACCGACACCTATGTATTGGAAAGATAAAGATTTGGACTGAGGGATCTTATACCCGTCTTCTCCTCTTTTCGACGGGAGTAAATCAATTCGTTTTTGAGGTTAGGGTTAGGCTTAGTTTTTTGAAAGATAAATAACAAATAAAATCTTTCCATGACTAAAATATGATTTTTTTTTCAAAGTGCGTTAAGTGTCTCCATGGTAAAATATATTGATGTAGACTCTTAACGCACTTTGAAAAATTTTTTCAAAGTGCGTTGAGTAGGTCCCAAATTTAACGCACTTTGAAAAATTTTTTCAAAGTGCGTTGATTTTGTCCCAATTTTAACGCACTTTGAAAAATTTTTTCAAAGTGCGTAATTTTTTCAAAGTGCGTTGCCACAACGCTTCATTGTGGTTAATGTCTTTTGATAACCCTATAATCTAAGATTTGGGGACATATTCCTGTTATTCCCGTTCGTGTCTGTCAACTTAAAGCTTCCTGACTGTCTATTTGCAAAACATATAATATACAATGTTAATCACTTTTGAATAAGATTGGAGCTCTGAATATTTTTCTCCTTAAATTTAAAAAGGTTTCTGAATACGATTTGAATATATTTCTTTCTGACCGTGTGAAATGCTTTAGCAACAAATGAATCATGATAGTATCTATAACTTGTTTGAAAATTTTTGAAAAACACATTTTTTCGGGGAAGACATAACTATACTTCAACAAAATTGTGAATTAGAGAGGATGCTTGCATGGTATAGTTACAGCAGTAAAAGGTTAAAGGAACTCGACGCAGATTTGAAAATAATAATTATTTTCAAAATGATAATTATTTTTCAAAAAAAACTCTAAGCTTTGTTATAGCTGAGAAAAAAATGTTATATTTAACTCTTTATTCTGTGACATTAATGAAGCCAAAGAGATAACATTTTAGGCTTTCTAAATAGTTGCAACTGCGAGGGAAAGTATACAAATGTTTGTATGTGACGAATACCTACCTCGCTATACTATATTCATCTGAATGAGTATGTTTCCAACTGACTCTATCCCTTTTTGGAACTGAAAATTAATATACCAAAAATTTAAAGTACAAGTGATCAGTAAATTACTTTTCTTTAAATCCGAGGGCCTTTCAAAAATACGCAGATTGTGCTATTATTTTCTCTTATAGACGTCATATTGTAATGAAATTTCACAAAAATATGTATCTTAAAGATTTCAAATATTTTTGACAAAATTTCTGTATTTCAGAAAAATTCTACTAAAATATTGGTATGTTTATATCGCTGATGGAGAGGTACGGAGCACGACAAACTTTTGATAAAATTTGTGTAATGCTCGAAATATCGCCAAAATAGATCCAAAAAATGCATGATAAAACAAGTAGTAAACTAGGGTATTTGTGACTTTCGTCCACAAATAGCTTATTGAAATTTTAGACCGTCAGACCTCTGTAAAAGGCTATACGGGAGGACGGGAAGAAGATGATCGACGAAAACTTTATCCGGACTGTAAAAAACGTGATTGAGAGTGACCATTGTGACGCTATATCTCATAATTACCTGCAGTTTTTGGTCTTAAAACCAAAAAAAAAATATTCTTTACGTGTTTATTAGATTTTAAGGTTGACAAGAAATGGTGTTTGGATGTTGAGTAGATAAGGTAACTCAAACTGAACAGGAACTCTTGGGAAATGTTGAGAAAATGAAAGCTCAATCACATATTTTTTTATAATGCCTGTGACGTGGAAGATCATTAAGATGACTTAATGATATGTTCTGAAAAATCACTAAAAATCAATACCAATTTACAACATTTTGATATGAAATTTTGAATACCATATAAGACCATATAAGTAAAGATTCTTTTAGATTGTGTTTGACATTTTGCCCAATTATGTCGTCAAATATTTTTTCTGTACAACAAGTCCGCGTAATTTTTGAACGGTCCTCGTAGATCTTTCCTTTACATATAATTGAACTTTTCATTTATTACACAGATAAAGAAACAAATTAACATTTTTGTTCTTTAAGTTCTGACACCATTAAACAGCTGCTTGCGAATCACAACCGTGATCATTAAACTAATATGTCGACCAAAGATAACTCTGTTACTTTTAAGAAGTTTTGTGTTTGTTTTCCACATATTGTTTTAGGTTATCTCTATTTCATGTACGTGTACACACGAAAAAATAAAGAAAAAAGTAACATTTAAGTGATAAGTTATAAATGTTTGATCAGAACACTATATACACGTATACGCTTAATATTTTATTTCCATCTCAATAAATGCAAAGAAAAACGCCATCAAAGCTCCGTAGAAGTGTTGCTAAAAGTTAAATAAAACCAGTTGTACTAAATTGATTCATTAAATATTTGAATACTTTCCCTACATGCGATGCAGTATAAACACATTTATTTACATCCGGTAATGGGTTGGTCTAGATGATTATTGGGCACCTATACATTCTGTTTGCCCTCATTTAATCCGACACTGAAGAGTGCAGGCGTATCTTCCTCCTGTCCGGTGTTTTTTGGTTTCAGATCCTCGGTAAGATTCATAGTTCGAAGTAAATGGACATATACAACCATAGAAAATGCTTACTGTTTACCAGTTCAAGTACGAAAACATAAATACAGCGACCCCACAACATTACATGTTTGTTAACGCGCGTTCTAGTTTACATGTACCAAAGGGATCTTGCTTTGAATACAAAAAAAAATATATAGAAATCCCTAAGCGCACAATAATTTTTATTTTTCAGGGGCGATGGCTCCATTGCGCTAAAATATAAAGGGTGTCATTTTATTTATTATTGTAGTGTTTAATTCAATGACTTGATATGATTTTACGGATACATGTAGATAAAATATAGATTGCTAAAAAATAAGGTTGTATATATTTTTTTAAAAATGTACTAGAAAAAGGCAGATGTTCTCCTTCGTTGATTTCCACTTTTATTTTCAATCTCTTTGGTATTTGTACAGCCCCATTCTCACATTTCTTTAACAAACTTGTGAGTATTTGTGGAAGTGAACCATTTTTCATTGCCTTTCTGATTTTGGAATCTGAACGAAACTCAATTACCATTGCTGAAATGTATAAATTTATTTTCATTAACACTGCAAGTTAGATAGCAGTAAATAGTAATTTATGTTAGAATAAGCACAGACATTGATTTCCAAGCAATTAGCATCATGCAAAGGGAGGCTCCATCAATAACCTTTTACTGCTGAAAAGTTTAACTGAAACGTTGGTCTTCCACTTTTCTAAAGAGAATTATGAAGAAAACCAAAAAAAAAAATAATGAATTTCATATTAAAATTTGGTTTGAACCTCTAATTTTCCCCATCAACCAACTACACCTCATTTTTCGACTAAATATCATTATGGACCTTGCACAATTTTATTTTGCTTTTCATAGATTTCTGCAGGTGTGAATTTATTCCCCCCCCAACCATCTTAAATGTTACTAAGTGTCGGATTTTAATTTATTTAACTTATTGGTGCTTACTGAAACTGACCGATATTGACAGAAACATTTTCATCTAAAAATTTTAAAATATCAATTTATTCTAATAGACTTATAAATGCTGTTGTTTATTACTAGAACAACTTATTAGTAAGAAATTTAACATAAATTTTAAACTTACAGTGGTCTTTCTGATTCTTTTGCTTCTGTACAATGTTTGTATCGAGCACTATTCCAATTCTCATTAGTTTTACATCTGCAGTTAGATTGTCGGATGATAATAATCTCCTCATTAGGGTTAAAATAATGCCGTCTTCCCCCATGAACATTGCATAATTCAGGCAAACCTTCATTCTTAATTTAATTTTAATGGATCTGCCTGTAATCTGCATGCTTTGAATTTCGAAACGTTCAAATTCGGCAAGTTGAAAATTTATGTTTCCTAATTTTTCAACTACATTTGTTATCAGGATACGCGCTAGAGAAGAAAAGTTTATATTCTTTGGATCGATGATACTTCCTTTTGCTATCACCCAAATGTTGTCATCAACTGTAAGACAAAAACAGGCGTAATACCAAATTTACATCAACATATGATTTCTAATATTATTCTTATTTTCTTTTTATTTTTATTTTGCAGAAAAGTAGGTTCTTGTGATTTATTTAACATTTTAATTGAATATTAAGAGCATGTCTACGAGAAAACCATGCAAGAGGTTATGAGAGCGAGGTTCTCAGATCAACTTCATGTTTTGTATGTAAATTTCTTCTATAATATGAAATATTTTGCCACAAAATTTTTTTCAGTGTGGTCTCACTTAAGGGGGTAAATCGACATTGTTACTAAAAATAGAATTCTTGGTCCTTACGCAGGGTGAAAACAGGAATTTTATAGGATTTTAAATTTAAAAATTCAGCATTTTACTTGATAATGATATAAAATGTCCAAATATGGCTGAAAGTAACAAGACACACTTGTTTCAGAAAAATTTTCAGAATCACAAACTGTGCCCTCGTTTAAGTGCAAAAAGGTCACAAATCTGGCATATTTCCAGATTTTTGAAAACTGGTGAAAATATTCATTTTTCAAAAACCTATAACTCAGAAAGTAACGCTTAGAATCAACTTAATCTCATACCAATTATTAGACAACATGTCTGTCTACATTATATAAAAAATCTGTCTTTGGACTCTCAAATATTTTGCTGTACTTTTTACTTAAAGTTGGACATATTTTGTGAATTTTCAAATTTTCTCATCCCTGAACTTCAGCAAGGAGTTATTTGCTGATTTAAATATTTTCAAGAATTCAAATTTTGCTGTTGAAAAATACCAGTATATTGAAAATTTTTGTTTTCAATCAATAATTATTTTTTAAGGGGTTAAATGGGGTTAAATGGGGGGGGGGGTTAGCAGAATTGTATTATTTTACATTTTCTTTGAGCAGGGTGATATTCACATACTGTTTAGTACCTGTTTGTTAATCAGTAGACCAAGTGTGTTCTCTCTCTTATCTTAAACAAAAAACTTCCTTGATAAATAATAAACAAAGTACACTGTTATCTACTAATAAGTAGATGACCCCTTTTAATTTGGAGTTCACAAGGTCAAAGGTCAAGGGTTATAATTCTCGATATACCAGTATGTAGATTTTAATCATTCAAAATCCTGAGGACCCATTGTTTGACAGACATGAAATTTAGTACATTGGTTTCTTGAGGACCCCTTTAGATTTTGAGGTCACAATGTTAAAGGTCAAGGGTCAAACTGAACAAAAAGGAATATCAGAGCTATTTTCTTGACAGATATATTGTAATGGCAACAACCTCAAAATGAATGAACACAAAGTTTTAAAAATCTACAATTTAGGACATTAATTATTTTATAATTTTTAATTTTATTGCATATTAAAATTTTAATATTACTCAATAACTAAGTACATTCAACAACAAATAAATTACAATGCTTGACTGCTTCCTGACATTTTATATTCACTTCCAAAATTAAAATGACCTTGAAATTTTGTATGCTTGAAAAAAAATCTACTTGCTTAAGTATACATCATGGTTCTAAATTAGGGTAAGATTTAAAAGAAAAAATCAAGGTTTCCCCAAATCATATTCTGAATTATTTGCTATAACTGTATACAGGAAATTAGTCTTTATAATACTTTTATATTTGGTAAAACTAAAGCACTGCTGACCTTGAACTTTGATCTTTTCTAAGATAAAAAACACTTAAAATTTACTCTGAATTTCTGTGTATTCCTGCAAGTGAACCCTGATACATATTAAATATCATTTGGGTTGATCTTGAGGTCTCAATCTTTCAAAATCTATAAGGTGTATCCAAACTATTTTGTTCAGTATGACCCCATTTTCTTCCTATGTATCATCCAATAACTTCTGGAGAAAATTTAACAAGCACTGAAATTTCCACTTCTGGTTTAAAGAACAACTGGACTGTCTCCAAATACACAAGAGTAGTACTCAAAGCAGGTACCTGTGAAAAAACACAGTTTTCAAATTAAATTGAAATAAACCATACTAGACATATTCAAAGATTTTTAAAATGAATGTCATGTTTATGATAATGATACATTTAAATTAATCAATTGAAGAAAATGTCATCAAATGATTTAGGTAAGATTCTTCACAAATTCTTCTGGCTTTCTTTGAAGAAAACAAGAGCTTCATATATCCTTGAAGTAAAGTAATAGAGTAGGGAAAAATGCATGTGGCAAATTGACAGACAGACAAGGCAATTCCTTTCCATGTACTATAGTATACAGTTATGAAATGGGTATGAGGGAAATAGCAAATTTATGATTCCCAGAGGGAGGAAACTATTTCCCAGAGGAAATAATTTTCTGCCGAGGGGAACAATAAATTTGTTATTTCCCGAGTTCCCATTCCATAACTTTTTTATTATACCGAAACAATGATAGGCGATTTCAATTTTTTTAACCAGATATTCCAACATTTAAAAAAAAACTGTAGAGGCATAATTACAAATGCATGCGGTTTAACACAATGTATGATAAGTGAAGCATCATGTCCTTAAACAATTAAATTATTTTTTAAAAAGTATTTTCACTGACATTTCGAAAAATTATCGTTGTCTTCATTTTGGTAGAATTCAAGTATGATTTTGACATCGCACGTCGAAATGTTTTGATGTCATGGCTACATTGCTAATAACATGACGTCACAGACTCGAGATTCCTTGAACACGCCACCCACTGAACACTTTGATTGGTTAAAATTACTAATAAATATTCATGAGGGAGTAGTCCAAGGGAGCAACTCTGATTTTCCAGGGAGTAGTCTTCAGATGAGGGCAATAGTCACTTATCGGGGAAATAGAGTTTTATGGTATTAATTTATACAAAGTAATGACAGTAGAGGTATAATAATATAACACATCTTTACCATTTCCTCAGCAGTGATAAGTAGTTGGTAATTCTAATGCTGCATCTGCATTGTCTTTCCTCTTCTTATTTCTGGATTCTGTACACAAAACTACATTGGAAACCCTATGTAGTAATTCTTTATAGCTCCACAGCTGAAAATCCCATTGTAAAGCCCAGCCCTAACCAGGGAAATGAATTTGAATAATCTGAAATTGCACGAGAAATATAAGAATGAAAGGAAATATTCTTTACAACATATAATTTCCCAGACTTATATTTATAATATTTAATTAGTTATGTTTTAAACACAAACTTGTCAAGGAACACATGGTGACCTTTATTTTAAAAGTATGAGATTATGAGATTTTTTTATAATCAAGCAGCCACATATAAGGCAATACTGGTGATTTAATTGACAGTGAAGACCCACCTATCCAATTCTTAATGTACCCTATTAGTAAACAGTCTTTGAAAACCCTGGACCTATTCAACTTTTTATCCCCTCTTCATCACCCCACAAAGGCTGCTTATGCTATTTATAATTATTTTGCAATATTGTTGAATTTATACAGATATTTTTATTGCTACATGTACAAGTACCAACCTTGAACAATTGTTGAAATTTCTCTTGACAGGTTTGCTAGGTATATATTCAGGTCCAGTACAATCACTAGATTTAGCTACGTAGGTATTTTTCATAGAAAAAATTAATTTGGTAGCTAAATAAAGCTACTTCAGGTAGGTAAATAAAGCTGACTAAGTAGGTATAAATCAGAGAGCAGCCCCCAAGATGCCAAAGTTTTTTTGTAATGTATTTTTACAATAGTATTTGTTTTTAATTTATTTGTACTCAACCTTGTGTTGTACATAGTGTTTTTGATTTATTATGTGATGTGTTCATTCTAATAAATCTAAACCGTTTCCTTTTGTCATGTTGTGTATAAATTCAAGCTAGTGGACGTATTTAGCTATGTCTAGTGATTGTACCAGACCTGATAGTGTCTTGTAAAAATCTTCTCTTGTCCATAATCAAGTCCCCATCAAAATTGTTTATTTATTTATATTTTCACCTATCAATAGGCCTTTTTATAAGGTACATAGTAATATAAACCAAGATCCACCTACCTGTTTCTTTTTCAAATTCAAACATTGTTGATTCGGTATCATCATATAACTACATCCGTCTTGCTACCAAATGCTGTCAGAATCATATTCATCAAAATCAGAGCCATAATCCGAAGACTCGTTGACAATTCACGCACTTAAATCTTTTTCTGGGGACGTACAAAACGGTAAACAAAACGTCTCAGGATGCCATAATGTTTACACGTGGTAACGGAGTACTTCGATCCCGATGGTTTTCATAATGTTTTATGCATTTTAAACATAGGCCACTAGTATATACGTAACAAATTACATTCACAGGAGGGACAATTTTCTTCAAATCACACATAATTGATGCCTTAAACGTTTAGATGACAGAAATCTGTTTATAAACTTCGTAAACATAATCATTATCTACCTTCTCTACAGAAGCACGCAACAGGGGAGATAATTCTAACAAAATCTAAATAAATAGTAAAATACGTTTTTTTTTTCACAGGAAAAGCAGGGAAAAATTATTTATAGCTTTTATAAAATTAAAAATAATTTTCATTGTTTATATTTGTAAATATTTTACACAAAATTCATTAAAATTACTGTTAAAAGTAAAACTTATAAAATCATGAATTTTTCCCTCATTTGAATTTGGGGTAATTTCATTACGATATAACTTTTCTGTCCTTGAGAGTCCAAAGGTGGATTTTACATATTGTTTGGATAATATCCTAGAGATTCTTAAATGCACAAAATTCTGAAAAAAGAAGCGTTACTTTCTAAGAAATGTATCCCTGAATATTAACAAAAAATGAACCATTATCATTTCTTGGCTCCATGCCAATATTTGTGCCCTCGTGACAGCCATCTATATAGGGGTTTTACAAAAAAAAATGATTCCAACTTAATTTTACGACTTAATTCTATGAGAAAACATGGCCCTTTTATTTATATATTGTTTTTTTTTTTTTTACTTTTAACTATTGAAATTGTCATTTTTTCACCAACTTTTTTGCATTTTCCCTTGAATATTGACCAAAATGAATTATTGGCTGTTACTAAAAATAGAAACAACCGATGCAAAAATAAACAACATATTTTTGACTTTCATTGGGTGTCCTTTAAGTTCATAATAAAAATTAGTTTGTTCTTGAGAGTGCCTATCAGAGCATTTTTCTATATATCTGCATTGTTTTCTCGTAGACAGGCTCTTAAGTCAATGCAATTTTTTTGTTTGATAAGTTCAAATTTTTAAAGAACCTTCAGTAGTGAAATCATTGTCAGAAAGGGTATGAAATAAATCTGTCTGAAAAACGTCAACATCACATATACAATCTGCAAAATTCCACGTCAAGTGTGAATGGAAATGTAATTTTGTTGCTGTATAGTCGCTATTATCTTCCGTGGAATCTGTGTCAAAAATGCAATATACAGTATGTAATACACATTTTTGTGAGAGTGTTTTAAGATTCGAAAGACTAATTTACAAATTCTGCAAAAAATGGTCTTAAGCATACTGAGTTTAATTACATATATATTTCTTTTACTCGTCCAAAGATTTGATAATATATTCAAAATACTTCTAAAAATACTACACTACCAACTCTTCAATATAGATGAAAAAATGTACGAAATTTTATCTTTTACTCTTGAAAAACAATACATCAGTACTCACGAAACTTAGGGTTTTCCCTTCCAGAACCAAGACAATACTCTTTCGGATTGTAGAGATATCCAGTAATTTTAATATTATCGATGCCATGGGATTCTAATAGCTGCTCTATTTCTTTTCTTCTGAAGATACACTGAAACACTCTTTGAATATTATTCTCTAGTGTTTCTTTGGATTGAATGGTAAATGTTATAATAAGGCTCCCTGGTTTAATTTCTTTTATGGACACGTTGTTGTCTTTTAATTCTGGGATATTGTTAACCTCCTCAATGTTCAAATGACTTGCAATTTCAGCCAATTTCTGAAATCCAGGATAGTCTGAGCGTAGAACAGCGGCTACTAAAATATTCAAAAATATCCTATGAAATGGGTTATTCAATTTAAATAATAAAATAAGCAGTGCAGTTAATGTTACAGTAGGAGGCGGGGCCTAAGTTATACGGGAAATCTTTACTATGACGTCACAAAAAATATAAGGTCTTTAAAATACCACAGAGTGAACTTACTTGCTATTTTAAACAGCTAGATAGCTCTAGACCTCATGAAAGCTAACTATTACATGTAGTTTTGTCGTTTGTTAACTCCTTCACAACAAAATGTAAATGATTCGTCGATCGCATTTTACTTGTCAATGTGACGTTATTTCGCAAAAGTAACGCAGTTCGTAAACAGTGATTAGGCTGATCAAGTTACTTACATTTTGTACAATGAAAAATATTTTTTGTTCTCAAAAAAATAATTTATTAATTGCACTTATGAAAAAAGCCGTTAACTTTATTGATATACTGTCCGTATAATCTCCGTTCAATTGATACTGTCGTGCGTTTCTATGATTTATTATCATATGATTTATTAAAGAAGTAATTGAAGGGAGCTAATAAATCGGTTTATTGCAAGGGTATATCCTCAATGTATCCTTCCAAGAACTCAAGAGGCATTACGATATGTGATAATAATGAAGCTTATGAAATCTTGCAAATAAATTAATTATAGCAATATTTTATGTAGTTGACCAGGAAAATATTCAACATGTCTTCTAAAAAAATAAATTTAGCAGTTAAATAGTGGAGTATATATATAGTTTCTTAGCCCTTTTCTGTACTACATATAGTGTTGAAAAGAATAAAGAATAAATTAAACTAAGATGTTTAACTATGATATACATAATTATGATATATGCAATGTTGGAATTTATGATAACCTCTAAGCTGCAAGTATATTTGCTAAAATCATGTGACGCCGACATCACGTGACAAATCTTTATTTAAAAATTCTAAAAGATTTGAACCACATTACGTTTCTTTTATATCATTAAATTCCTAAAAAGGAGTCTCCCATCCTAATAAAGTATGTATTTTTATCTTTAAAAATTGCTGATATTTCTATTTGCAACCGTACTGCACCATGCGCTATTTGCAACCGTACTGCACCATGCGCTATTTGCAACCGTACTGCACCATGCGCTATTTGCAACCGTACTGCACCATGCGCTTAAGTTTTAGGAGAAATTGTTCAAGTGCACATTGTAATATATTCATAGCTTAAACTAAACAAAGTTTGATTATGATTATTAGTATGATTATTTATTATCCAAGATACTCATAATTGTGTTTGAAAGGGCTTTTAAGCGTATGAGAATTTGCATGTGTATATCTGATGCTGCACACACTTTTAAATACTCACCCAAACCATTTGATGTGATTTCCAAGAGATTGCAGTCGTCTTGTACCTCGAAACATATCTTACTGTTATTTCCTACTTGAACCACGATTACAGAGCCAGTAAATGAAGAACCAAAGTTAAAATCAATTCTATTTCCATCTCCAACCTGTATCGCATCTGCACTTGGACCTTCTGAAACAGGAATAATTATCTATATATTCACCTATTTCCTAAGAATAACAATAAATATAGCTCAATGAATTTCTCAATGTATTTTTTTTTTCATTTTGCCCTTAAATTTTAAAACTTTAAATGTAGAATAATTCTACATTAAACATTTATTGTAGAGCAATTCTACATTAAAGGTTCTCGGTGACGTTATATATAAAGGAAGGGATTTTAAGAATGCTGTTTTGAAATCTTACTCTATTCATAATTCAGGTTTCAATTGATAATGTATGTTGAAATTAAACATTGAAATTACCAACGTTGCAATCTGTTGCAAAATATATTTCTCTTCGGAATTCAATTCCTATGTCTTTAAGCTCAGGATGATTGCTCAATCTTTTTGCAATGTCCATCAAAACAGAGAGAACTTCATTACTGACATCATTTGATATAGACTCCAGTACATTGTTTTCTATATTTTCTTCCCAAATCCTCCATATTCTTAAAATGTCATCAGCTACTCCAGTACATCTCTCTGGAATGTTCTCATTGGATGACCAACCAATGGCTGGTGAACCATAAAAACAATCACAAGCGCCTGATCGAAACACATCGCACAATGTTGGGAATTTCAGTTTCTTTATTGTATTAAAACTTTCTAAGGCTGATATAGATGCGTCAGAAAGCCTTTCATATGAAATTTTTGCCAACAGATCATCATATCTTCTAAATTTTAATTTCAGTATATTCCGTAGCAGGTTTCTGCATGGCGACCTAAGAAGTGTTCTTAGTGTTTCAAATTTTTCTTCCCCTGTATCAGATTCATCTGTACTCATCATGTATTTCTTATTTCCTGTTTTAAATAAATATATATTAATTGTGTATTTACATAAAAATCGTAATAAAATGTAAAAGTAACTTGAAATTCTAACTAATAAAATGGTAATTATATTTGAAGCAGGACCTTTTTTCAAAAATTGTGTACTCAGGAACAATTTAAACATTTTTTTTAATTTGAGCTAGGACATGCCCTTGCGATATTGAAATCTGTTGATGACCTACATTCAGTACACATACTACATGTATGCATTTATCATCTGGACGTCCATCTATGGGATCAAACTTAATTCAGTACAGATTTGGTTTTATATATTATTTCAAAAAGTATTTAAATATCTTAAAGAACTTGTTCTAATACTTTAATCAATATATGAAAAAGGCTGTGAGAACGCACAGTACATTGCACTGTCACTGTATTGAAATCAATTCAATATAGACGCGCACGAATAGATACCTTTTAAAGCCGAATTTATTTTTCTAAAGCAATTATATTATCAAATGAATTTGGTATTTTTTTCTAAAAATAACAAAGCATATCCAACTCTGTATTGAAGCAAGTTTGCTCAACTTATTGGACAGTCGCGTGATAGATACATAATGTGGACTACATGTACTTAGGGGTCATAAATATTTCAAACATTGCATAGGCAGACCCTAAATACGATTTAAAGATGAAGAGAAAATTGTTAAAACACATCTTCTAATTTATAGACAGTAAAGAATAGCATGATATGAATGAATAATTCCTATCTTTCTGATTGGCTGAGATCCAACTATGTGGGAAAATACAACGTTATATTTACCTGCACGTGAAGTTCAAAGTAAAAATAGGGAACTATTTTTTCTACATTAATCTAAAAAAGGATCGGAAAATTTGCAAATTATGCAAAATGTTTTGGAAAGGTATTTATTTCAACTCAGCAGCTATGACTTTTTCTCATGTGTACAAAAGCATGATAACCAAACATAAGCGAACATGATGCAGGGATCAAACTCCTCCAATACTTTTACTAAACTTTTTTTTTACTTTTTTCTGCTGTCAGTTTTGCCTGATAATACCTTCCTTTCAAAATATAGTATTTAAAAGAGCCTGATATTATATCTATTATGGCAACTACCATATTTTCAAGAAATTTCAAATTAATTTACGACTGGCAATGTTTATTTACATTTTAACGCTGTTTGGAACTCTCTTTGTAATTGGCAACAACCAATAGCACTTCTGATCTGACATGGTGTAAACATCAACCGTGGGACGTCCTTATCTTATTAAGTTTGCAGAGAAATCATTCATATAACTTTAACTGGGCTATCTCAAAAACATAATACCTGATAAATATAACATCTACAAACGTATAATTTTATATCAACTTTATTCAAGCGAATATTTAGTCACATAATATTGGCATCCTATCTATTTATGAGTTTTAATTGCAAACAAATTGGGATCAAATTTAAATAAATTTTATCTTTAATTAATTGATAATTTTATGTTTTCTGTGAATTTATTGAGCACTGTGATTATTTTCCAGGATTTCCGAATATTTCTTTTAAATACATGTACATGTACATTCAAAATTTAAGAATATAATTGTCTTTGAGTAAGGTCGATGAAATGAGACATATTCATGTAACGTGTATATGTACCAACTTTAAACAAAAACAGGGGTAGAATTAATTTGATGGATCAGTATTGTCTCAGTTGTAATAAACATGCATTTTCTGAAAGCACAAAAAATATATAAGAAACGGCCAGTGGGCATCTCCCTGACTCTGATTAAATTTGCACCATGGATGCCTTGGATAAACTAACAACGTTTAAGTCATTTTTTTTTAAATTCAAGGTCGAAATAATTGTGTACATAGTACAAGTTTTATTTTAAACAACATCATTTAATTTGACTCTTCTTGTAGCACTTTTGATATCTAATATCTTTTCAGGTAATAAGCTTGTGAACAAGTTAATCGTTTTGATGTTTTTCTAATCTTTTACATCATGTTTGTCATATTTTAAAGACTTGTTAAAGACTTATTTGCATTATATTATAAATATACATTGAATTAAAAAATATAATTTGAGAGATGACACGTATTCTCAGCACTGACTGTAAAATGTCTGTAATTAGCTGATAAACATAATGTTCTGAATATCAAACGATATCATGCATTTCTTTTTCATATAGATTTTTAGGAAATACTATTTTTTTTGTCGCATTACGTACCTGGTATAACACATTTTAAACATTAGCCAGGTCAACAACTTGGTCAAAAACATGTTGATCTATTCTACATTTACATTTAAGGTCAAATATTTTGCATTTATCAGGAAATTCTTATTTTCCAAACATAAAACATTATTTACTTAAGAGATTTTCAATAAGTATTTAATTATTAAAATGTCACAAATAGGCGTTGTACTGCCTACAATTTTAGCATTATTTTTTTGAAAACACCTGCTTCGCGGATTATGAAAAAAAAAAACGTAAACTGACCTAAACCAGGTTATACTCGAATAATTTTGCAAAGAATTAGAGTTATTCTTATAATTTCATTTTTAAATAAACAACTGTGAATATAAAATTGGTCTGCTTTTTATGAGTTCAAATTTACCGCTCAGTAATACAAACGTAGGAACAGAAGTGATGGGAAACGAGGGGGAGGGGTAATAACTGATACATAGACCTAGCAGTCATGATGTTTGTTCACAGGAAGTAAGATCGAGTTACTGTTTGAAGTTAAAGGTACATTTATTAAATTTGGAACTTTCCATAAATCCATAAATCCAAATAACAGGAAATGAGAGGGATTGCATTGACACAGATAACTCAACTGGTTGTCAAGGGAGTGTTTCCTCATACCAAACAAGATTATGCAGAATTATTTGCGTTCCGTTTTGGAAATCAACCAATGAGAGACTAAAATACAAATATTAAGTTATTGAATAATACAAAAACAGGCCTCTTACATTGGATGCTTTTAAAAAAGAACAATTGAGACTATTCGTGTCTGACCGCAAAAATGCCCTTATAAACTAAACAAAGGAGGTATTTTCCCTTTCCATACACCGATCTCAGTTTATTCCCTCTGTTTACTCCCGTTATGAACAAACGATGTCTCTTTGAACAAATACCCTGGAATGTATGTATAACTGACAACAAAGTTAACATTTTCCACCCTGATATAAACATGTGATCAACGTTTCGCCAGCGACAATGACTAGTATAAAAACAATTATGATAAGATAACTTATTCAGAAGTCTAAAAGAACGGTTAATATGTAAAAACTAAGATGTATATTTAATTCCTAATATCGTATCACTTGTTTTTCGAAATAAAAACTGTTCACAGTAGCTCAGTCAGTAGAGCGCTCGCTCCGTTATCGGGAGGTCGTGAGTTCGAATCTCGGCTGCGATTGACTTAAGTCGATAAAAAATCGGTAGCAACTGTTCCTTCGCCATGCGCTCGGCACTTTGAAGTGAAAGTTGCAGGTCCTAGGGATGAGACCTTAAAAACCGAGGCCCCTTGTCAGCGGCAGGGATTGACACTATAAAGATCCCTCACTGCTAAATGACCCTAAAGGTCAAGATTTGAAGCCCTTCACCGACATCTAGTGACGCTACATAAGTGAAAAATTCTCGAGAGAAACGTTAAACGTAATACAATCAATCAATCAATCAATTGAAATAAAGATCGAAAAGATATTAACAACAACATCAAGTACTTATTCAATATCATAGCATAGAAATAGATAACATACCACACACCTTTAATGCAAATTATATTATGGTTAATTTTGGATAACGAGACGTTATCGGTTATCTTCGGGTGACTCCGCTACGATCCGTTTCTGTGCAGAGCACAAGCAACCAGAAGAGTTCCGATTCGAGTGAGTATACTTAGGGTGGTACATGTAAAACCCAAACCATGATGTAACTTGCACTGCATTACAAAACAATTCAAATCTTTATTGTATATCTGTTTTAACAAATTACTCATAAAGAAAAACGCTGAACATTGTTCATGATTTAAAGATCACGTGACCGTCACCTATCATATTCATAATTGTGATTTTTTAAAATCATCAAATTGTAATAATTGATATTCGTTTTTGAAATAAGAAAATATGAAAAGTGAGGTTCACTTTTCCCATGAAATGGTCCTATCCATATACCAATTAACTGACCAAATTCCAATCCCCAATTTTAAAAATCAAATTAAAGTAGAGACTAAGTGGGAAAAAGTCATTTCTGAGAGTCCGGGCTTTATGAAATTGCAATTATTTCAAATTTTGAAGAAAATTGATGAATTTTGAATTTGATTGTTAGCCCACGCGGGGATCCACAACATAAAATATGGCTTATAATCCTCTGGTAGAATACCTAGAGTAGTTTCATTAAACATATGTAAGAAAACATTCTAGATTTGAGGTTTGCGGTTTCCGCAAAATATTGGAAAGCAGATATTTTGGTCATTTTAAAAGAAATTTTCAGAACTTAGGAATAATTAAGGACGAAATTCATGAACCTTCTTTTATCATATTATCATCAGTTTGCTGATATACTACATTTGTAAGAATTAAGAGTAATATCTCCCAAGGTATTTTAAAAATGAATGTATTTTCCCAAGTCGGAGGTTTGTTCCCTTTGTCGTGCCTTTATATTCTTTAAAAGAAACTGTACTTCTACCTGATGCTTTCCCTTCATTAAAAAATGAATAATATCTGCGCAATTAAATTTCTTAATAAGATTTTTCCATCACTGAAGAAGGATGACGTATATTATTAAAAGAATTCACGATTTTAAGATGTGCTGATTTGTCATTCGTATGTAGGGCATAAAAAAATATGTTAAGGCACAGCAAAAAAAAAAACTCGTGTTAGAAGATTCTTGACCGTGTGCAGAAGTTTGCAACTGATAATAAGTATGGTTTATTATCAGTCACTTAACACCAACTAGCATGCCAGCTATATAGATTTTTTTGGGCTACGTCTGTTCCT